GCGGGCAGCCGGCTACACCTCCCGCGCACCCGGCTGCAAGGTCAGCTTCGCCCAAGCGAGGGCAGGGCCATTTACCGTCAACAACCTCAACTGTAAGTTCACAAGCCGCGCTCGATGGGGGATTCACCTCGGCATCAGCTACGAGTATAAGGCATGGATCATCCTCGACCTTCTGAGCAACAATATCACACACGCGAGCGAGGTGATTTTCTACAAGAGGCTCACCCTCGCACAATTCCGTGCAGATCAGCAAGCGGGCGCGGATTTGGTGTATGTGAACAACGATCGAAGCTACGCCACCCCTGAGGACAAAGCTGCCGCGGCAATTCTTCATCAGGACACCTCCAGCGAATCCACTGACATCGACCTGCGCCGCAACGACGACGACGACGATGACGATGACGACGACGAGTCGCCGCCAGGTCCCTCGCGAGACAATCGCAGGAATCCTGCGACACGAGCCCCACCTGAGCCAGAGAGCAATGACGACGATGTGCAAGAAGTTGTTCCTGAACACCGCCACAACACCACGGTCTCTGGGCTACATCTGCTAGGGCTTCACACCACAACCTCTTCGGCTCCGCGCGTCATCGAGTCGAAAAATCCGCGATAAACCCTGACGGGACCTCACAGCAAGGAGTGGCGCACGTCAATGGACGCAGAGATAAGGGCACTTGAATGCGCGACACTTGGGTGCTCGTCGACCGAGCGGCAATCAAGGGAAGGTGCGTCTCTGGCAAATGGGTGTTCCGAGTGAAAACCGCGGCGAACGGTACCATTGCGCGCTTCAAGGCGCGCTGGGTCGTGCGCGGTTACGATCAACGCCATCGCATTGATTTCGATCAGACGTTTTCCCCTGTGAGCCGACACACCTCCGTGCGCATTCTGCTCGCCATCGCTGCAGCAAGGCACATGCCACTCCGCCAAATCGACGTGAAAAATGCAGTTCCTTGTGCATTGGTGGACGCCGTGATATTTGTGGAACAGCCACACACTTACGGCAAAGGGGACCCACGGGTCTGTAAACTCAAGAAGCCACTCTACGGGATCAAACAAGCACCAAGGCTGTGGCAGCAGCATTACACAAAATCTTGCTCGAAACACCACAGGGCGCCTCGTCATGCCTTTCCTCCTCCTTGGTCCTTTCTGCGTTCTCCATTGTCAGTGAACTCATTACCCACCTGCGCTTGTTTGACGCTAGCTTCAGCGCTGCTTGCACTGCTGACGACCTTGCTGAGCACACCCCCCCCCCCCCATGTATCTCACCCTGCACCTCCTTGCCGCCCGCCTACATGACCGGCTCGCGCCTGCCCGCAACGCCCTCCTTGCCATACACTGCATACGCCTCACTAGCGATCTCTTTCAGACTAGTTTTTTTATAAACCACCCTTGACCTTTTTTTGTTTTACGGACCAGACACCCAGGAACTAGAGGCTATTTGTGGCATTGCATTGCGTCGAAGTCGTAAAACTCTCACTCAGTGACCGCAACGCATGTACTGGATCTTCCGCTGCGACCATGTTATGTGTTTTCCCGCTGGCTCATGTGCGGAGTCTTGAACATTGCCCTCGTTAAAGCTGAAACTGTCCGAAACAACCTTCTGTTTTGGGTAAACCAGGAACGATTGCCCAAGTGTGTGAAATTGGAGGGTGTGAAATTAGCGCGGACCATGTGATATATAACACCCACTTGGGTTGCCTGCGCTACAAGGTACACCCTGTTTCTCGCCATAATGGATTCATGTATAGTGGATTCCGGAGTAGAAAAACACAGTGTAATGTGGTTAGATTATGTTTCGGTATGGTTCAATTAGGCAATTCGAATAAAACAAGGTCAGCCAGCCAGTACCGTACACTTCATTATACACCCTCTTTCTCGACCTTCTTACCAGCACGAGCACTGGCTACAGTGTTTGGATTTAGCGGGCTGGTGACCTAAACCGAACCTTGACAGTTGCAAGCGAAGCCGCACGAGGGGAGAACAAGCACCGGAGGGTAAAAAAAACCGCGATATCTTAATATATTTCCCAACCATATCTACACGCAGACAAAACCGTCTCTAACGTAACTCACCTTTCGTATACTCTATGTGATAGCACATTCTTGGGTGCGTTGGGATTGTACAAACCTACTTGATGAGTACATCTGATGTCAGTCTACCGAGGAAGAGCGTGTAGCGAGAAACCTGGTGTATGTAAGAAAATATCGCCACACAACAAAAGCGTGGGAAACGCATGTAGCGGCGCTTGGCTGTTTCAACGATCACCACGCTGGCTTGGGTTGGAGAGATTTCTGTAGACGTACAGAAAACGCGTTGTCGATTTGCATCAATTCACAAAATGCATGACGTCACTATCACGTGACACACTGTATTCATTGGCTGAAATTGACCACGCACATTAGAGCGAATACAGTACCAAATCACAAGGTTCTGTATTGTAGATTCTAATACAGCAAACTGCACAGTGATAGCCTCACCCAGGGCTGTTTCTGGATTATACAGACTTCTGGGGTGAATTGTGCGAACTGCACCAATACTCTCTCGTCTGAATAGGGGAGATGTTAGCCGTGCGAATGGAAAGTATCAACTCTGGTGAAACTTGTACAAATAGGCCCCCAGTGTTGAATACTGCACGACGCGAGTGTGGTACTGTACCAACGCGCAATTTTCCCTATTCTGAGGTTTCGTTTCAGAAACATTTCCGAGACTGGGACGAAGTGGGCAGAAGCGCACAGTCGTAGAACCGCTGCGCACACAGACAAGCCAGTGACGAATGGACAACGATTCTGGCATGCGTGAAATGGATGTGTGTGCCAGCAAAGCAGTGCCCCCAAACAGCAGAAATCCCCCTCAAATGCTCGAAGTTGTCAGGGAACTGCCCCACCCCAAAAGGTGAACTTCAGTTACGATATGAAATATTTGCGACGCTAGCGAATTGTTCCGACGCGTAGACGAAATGTGATGATTGTGCAATGCGATGTACACAGTGTACGTGCGACCCCAATTTGATCGCATGGTTTGTAGGAGTTCGGGTCCCCAAAACACAGTCTTGGTTCAACTGACAAAGGGTGCCGATATTCTGTGTTTTTGCATGTTCAAGTTCGACAACTCCCAAACGAGTGCAGGTTCGCCCAAAACCCGCTCCAAAGAATTTTCGAATCAAAATTCAGAACTGCAGCGCGCCCTAAAAGGATCACCCCCTGAGGATAACAGAGGTCCTGGCCTGGCTGGAAGTGTGGGCCCTTCCTTCCCAACCAAAGTGCGGCAAATGTGGTCCACGGGAAAATCTCTGGGTGAATCCTTATTTGCTCCCTCGACGTGCCACGGAGGTAAGCTGTCATCTCACCATTCAAATCCACAATCGTTCCAGGCTTGCACGTGCGCCTCACGTGACGTCCTTCCCACTGGATATTGCTGTGAGCAGTGTTGAGTGATCCTCATGGGGAGGGGATATACTGTAGGAAACTGGAAAATTGCTTCTGCAAGTTTCCCAATTTCGTAAGAAGGAACGCGATCCTTAGCCCACGGACGGATCACGCACTGTTTTGAATTTCACTATCTGCCACGTAGTACCGTATGGTTGGCAGTTCCAGCAGCAGATTCACGCTCTTGCAGAATATGGCAGAAGCAGCAACTCTGCCTAAGTCTCACTGAATCGCTGCTGGGAACGGAAAGACCACCAGAGGCAAGCAGCAACCGTTGCCCTCCATGTTCGGAGAGGAGACACCACAAAGTTGCCGCTAGTTCTTCTATTGCGGCTGTCCTGCGGGATTCGTGAGTCTCGTCCCTTACCAGCAACTGGATTCGGATCTCTCAGGCTGCATCGATTCTCAGGCAGGCCGTCAAGCGAGGGACTCTGATTGCCTGCCAAAAACTTTCATTCCCGGCGTGAGCACTGAAGTCAGTACTTCAGGCTGAGAGACTATTTTCGACTTGGGGGAGTTACTCCGAGGATGGAGACTATTTTCGAATCATCATGCTTTGAGCAGTGCCGCCATCAGTGATGGCTTGATCTGGATTCCAAAAGTTTATCGCGAAAGTCCAAGGCTCAGCAATTTTCCCGCAATTTTTGAACGCCCCGCAACAAAAACCCAACCCTGGTGGTTATGAGTTTCAATTTTATAAAAACGAGTCGTTTTTGTCAGCTCCGCGTCATTTCTCACCGTGACGACGTCACGCAACGAACGTAACTCTCTGCATTTCGCCACATATCGTTACGTGTTATCTGCGTTATCAATACGTGTTAGCGACCGTTTGTCCTGCCAGCAAGCGCCGCAGGAGCTTCTGCGTGACAGGGGTTTGCTTTAAATTCTTATTGCGCCACGCCTTTAAACCTTGGTTGTAAGCCCGCAGGCGTTTACTACAAATGCTGATCCCTTCACCATCATCACCATCATCACATCAGCATGTCCGATCCGATGCGCAACTGCCGCCAGCGCCGGCGGCCGCGAGGAATCAGGCGGCGTCGCCGCAGCAGTGGAGCCAAGCGGCTGGCGCTCGCGCTGCCGCCGCCATCGCCTTCGCAAGCGCCGCGGCACAGTCGGCGCGCTTCTCTGTGAACCCCTCCCTGGACGCTGCCGCCTCCTCCGCCGCCTCTGCCGCCGCCGCCGCCGCCGCGGGGGCCGCAGGCGCAGCTCCCGCCGCCGGGCCAGCACGGGGGAGCTTTTTGCGGGATCCGCCGATTCTCCCCTTCCATGCGCTCTCTGTATCCGCCCCGGGGCCACTGGGAGGCCCTCTTGCCTTATCGGATCTGCCTTTACCGGAACAAGCGGGATGGCTTTCCTCCTCCTCCTCCCTCTCCACCATTCACACCTTGATGACGTCAGCGGTCTCTCTCCATCCTTCCCCATTCCTCCTCCCTTCTCCAATCCTGCCTTCTCCTATCCTCCCCTCTCCAGTTCCCCCTTCCCCAGGGGCTATTCCTTTCCGTCTCCTCCATTCCCCTGAGTTTATCTCGAGAACGCAAACAACCCAAAAATCAAGCCACGATCTCAGCCAGCCTACTCCTCCTCCTCCTCCTCCTCCTCCTCCTCCTCCTCCTCCTCCTCCTCCTCCTCCTCCTCCACCCTTTCCCCCTCCGCCTCTTCCAACTGCTTTCCCTCTCCTTGACACACGTCAGGCCGCATCATCACCTGTCGTTGCCACGTCAGCAGGCGTCGGCTCCAGGTGCTGGGCGGCAATGACTGAGGTTCCTCCAGGTGGCAAGGCCTCGGCAGGTTCTGGTTCCGGACGGCATCGTTTGGAGACACTATCATTGCTGCCGCCCAGTCCTGCACGTGGCTCTATTCCCACCTCTCGAGATGGCGCCTCTCCTGCTACAGTTAACCCCCTGGTACAAGGTCGCTCGTTACAGTCACAGACAATACCAGCAGTGCTAGAACCATACTCGGTAAGGTATGATGCAATACCCAGAAGCACTCCTTCTCCTCGCCTGCTGAATTTGTTAGGACCCCAGTCAGACGAAGACTGTATAAACCAAAGGGGAGATAGAATCAGAGCGGGAAAAGGAAGGATAAGGGCAGGGGATGGGGAAGAGGAGGGAAGATCAAGGGAAAGGGATGGAAAGGGGAGGAGAGGGGTGGGAGAAGGGAGGATAAGGGAGAGGGAAGGCAGCACAAAGGAGGGGGAAGGGAGGACAAGGGAAAGGGAAGAGAGGAAAAGGGAAGGGGAAGGGAGGACAAGGGAAGGGGAAGAGAGGAAAAGGGAGGGGGAAGGGAGGACAAGGGAAGGGGAAGAGAGGAAAAGGGAGGGGGAAGGGAGGACAAGGGAAGGGGAAGAGAGGAAAAGGGAGGGGGAAGGGAGAAAACAAAATTGGGGAGCGGAAATCAGGCCAGAGCCTATAGAGGGTAGTGGTGCTTCTAGAGAGGATGAAGAGAGAGCGGATGAGACAAGTTGGGATGGAGCAGAGAGGAGGGATGACGAGGATAGAAGATTGGCCATGAGGGGGAGTATGGAGGTGGATGAAGAAATGGGAGTAGGCATGGGAACAAGCATGGGAAGAAGCATGGGAACAGGCATGGGTACAGGCATGGGTACAAGCTTGGGGACAGGCATGGGGACAGGCATGGGAAGAGATATCACAGGGTTTGGGAGCAGAGGCGTTACAATGACAGAGACCGACACTAAGGCAGCAGCAGAAGCTTCTGTCGTGGGTACAGTCTTGTTTACGGACATGGGGAGCGGCGGCGTTACAATGACAGAGACTGTCGCTGATGCTGCTGGATTGTCTTATCTGCAGGAGCGATATCAACTGGTTCTGCTGCGGCAACTGAGGCTGCAGCAGCTGCTACAGCAGCAGCAACACCAACAGGCATTGCTACAGCAGGTTGATCAGCAAACCCAGCAGCAGCAGTCGCAGCAGCAGAGTTACTGGATGGATCTTCTGCAGCAGCAGCAATACCAGTTGCAGCTGCAGGAGCAGCAGCAGCAGCAGCCGCAAGGCTTGTTGCAGCAAGGCTTGTTGCAGCAAGGATTGTTGCAGCAAGCTGAGCAGCAAGCTTTGTTGCAGCAGCAAGCTTTGTTTCAGCAAGCTGAGCAGGAGAAGAGTCAAAGGCTGGAGATTCAGAAGCAGCAGCAGCAGCAGCAGCAGCAGGGTTTGGAGCAGCGAGCAAAACAGAGGCAGGAGGAGCGAGAAGCAGAACAGCAACAGGTACAACAAGAGGCGGCACAATCACCCACACAGCAGCTGCTGCTTCTGCAGCAGGCAAGGCAGCGGCAGGAGGAGCAAGAAGCAGCACATCAGCAAGCACAGCAGCATGCACAGCAAGATGCACAGCAGCAGATGCAGCAGCTGCTGCTTCTGAGGCAACTGGATCAGCAGGCAAGGCAGAGGCAGGAAGAGCGAGCAGAACAGCAGGCGCAACAGCAGTCACAGCAACAAGCACAGCAGCAACAGCAGGCACGAGCACAGGCAGAACTTCCAAGGTTTGTGACTTCTCACGTGCAATATCCAGTCCAACCGGCCGAGCAATATCAGGATGTATCAATCGAGCAACATCCAGATTTATCAGCCGAATCGCATTGGACTCAGGTTGTTTTGAGCGAGAGAGCGCAGACCCTCCTGTCCTCCTGGCTTGGAGTATCAAGTCTCACTCCCTCTGCTGCTGTTGCTGCTGCTGCCGCTGCTGCTGCCGCCGCTGCTGTCACTGCTGCCGCTGCTGCTGCTGCTGCTGCTGCTGCAGCTTCAACTGCTGCTGGTGGTGATGGTGATGGTGCTGGTGGTGGGACCGTTTCAGTTTCATCTGGTGCTGGTTTCAACGCCCCGCCTCGTGCTGCCGCCCGCCCTCCAGCTCAGCTTCCCTTGGACCACCTCCCGGGCATTCCGGGGCAGAGGCCGGGCGGGTATTCTTGTCCTATCTGCGGCAAAACCTTCCCCACGTCGCAGGCGCTTGGGGGGCACATGACGTGCCACGGGGCGCAACGTAAGAGGACGTCTCGAAAAAGGGAGGCAGCAGCAGCAGCGGCAGCGGCAGCGGCTAAAGCAGGACCAACAGGAGGAGGGAGAGGAGTAGGTAGAGGAGGGGAGGGAGGAGGAGAGGGAGAGGGAGGGGGAGGGGGAAGGGAAGGGGAAGGGGAAGGGGAAGGGGAAGGGGGAAGGGAATGGGGAAGAGAAGGGGGAAGGGAAAAGCGGGGGGGGAGATGTGGAGGTGAAGGAGGTCCAGAGAAGCTACTTGAGAGAGCAATAGGGATTGCTGGTGGTAGTGCCAAAGAAAGTCCTTTCAAATCTCGCCCCACGCTCCCATCCCAAGCCACACTTTCTTTCCCATCCAAGCGCAAGGCGAGCATTATGCATCTCCCTTTTATATCTGGTACCAGCAGTGGCAGTGCTGGTGCTGCTGCTAGTGCTGCTGCTGCTGCTGCTGCTGCTGCTGCTGCTGCTGCTGCTGCTGCTGCTGCTGCTGCTGCTGCTGCTGCTGCTGCTGCTGCTGCTGCTGCTGCTGCTGCTGCTGCTGCTGCTGCTGCTGCTGCTGCTGCTGCTAGTGCTGGTACTAGTGCTGATGCTGCTGCTAATGCTAGTGTTGCTGCAAGTGCTGATGCCAGTGCTGCTGCTAGTGCTGGTGCTAGTATTGGCACCCTTGCTGCTGCTCGTGCTGCTGCCGCTCGTGGGGGACGATCCTGGTTAAAGGAGGCATCACTGCGTGAAATCTCCACTGTTGCTCCTTCTCCTCCTGCTACTCCTGCTGCTGCCCCTGATGCTGCTGCTTCTCGCGTTACTGCTGCTGCCACCGCCAGTGCCATTGCAACTGCATCTCCTGCTGCTCTTTCATCGATTCGTCAGATACTGGAAGCGGAGAATATTGCAGGCTTGGACCACAACCCAAGCCTGGGCGCAAGCCTGGGCCCAAACCCAAGCCTTAGCCTCGGTCCAAACCTCGGCCAAGGCCCGAGCCGGACAAACGGGCAACCGAGCCTGCTGCAGTACGTTGGGCCCATGCCTCGTCGAGACGCCCTGCCTTCACTAAAACCAACTTCGTTAGAATCACCTTCATTAAGAGCACATTATTTCACGCCTCCTTCTCTGATACTTCCTTCATCAATATCCCCTTTATTAGCACCCCCTTCAACAGCTTTAGTGAGCGCAGGGATGGCAAGTGCGCCTGCTGCGTTTCTAGCTACGGCTCATCACACTGCAGCAATGGGAATCCCGCTACACCTAAGAACGGTCTCCACTGAAAGGGCTTCTAACGGGGATACTACTGGAGCGTACACTAGTGTACCGACAGGCAGAGGAAGGGGGGGAGAGACTGGGAGCGGGACTGTGGGAGGGATTGGAAGAGGGAGCGGGAGAGGGAGCAGGAGAGGAGCAATGGAAACAGAAGTGGCTCCTGATTCGGCTACTGTGGGTTCTCTGACTCATTTCAGTCATGCTGATGCTCCCGTGCAAGCTGGAACGAGTGAGTATGAGGGAGAGGATTTGGAGGGACTTGAGCTGATTCTGCTCATGAGACCCGGATCAAGGACCTCTGCGAATGTGAACAATGCAAATGCCAGCTCTACAAATGTCAACTCTGCGAGTGGAAAGGTGTAGGAGGAAGAGGGTTGGATCCGCTAAGCAAGAGGCAGCGGCAGAACTCGTAGTGTGCTTTTGCTGCTTCGCGGACGTGAAACTTTATGACATTCAACTCGTGAAAATAAATATGAATGGCAGTGAGAGGTGAAAGATGACTGACCAGTAAGGGCGTGTTCCTACGGCCCCTTATCAGGCCAACCTCCTATCAAGCTCGCATCAAAACACACTGAAAATTCCCTAAACCCAAAAACTCTCGCTACTTTAACCAGGCAAGGCTGACAAGAGGTTTGCCTGATAAGAGCGTAGGAACACGCCCTAAATGTGCACATAGTAACCCAAGCTAGCCTATAATGTGCACATGCAAGGGTGTATCGATATGGTAAGTTGAAAGCTTTCAAGTGTTAAATTGCATGTCTTTGTCAATTTCCAGCATAAATCTGCTATACAACATTGAATTTTCGGTCTACCCGGGTAACAATCTAGCGACGTGGTTAGGAGAACTGAATATTATCTTGTAACACGGTTTGTGGTACAGTTACCTTTTACGAAAAGACCAGGTGTTTTGTGGTGCGATGAAGGTTCTTATATCGACTACTTGCTGTCGATGAAAGAAGGAATGGATAGAATGAGAGCATACAGTTGTGATATGTACTAAACATGTACCCTCTACAGTGTAACCCAACCTGCCTATAATGTGCACATGCAAAAGTGTATGTGTAAACTGGCACACCCCCTAGGCTAGGTAAGGGGTAGTTCCTAAAGAAAAGAAAACAACTCTATGCAGCACTTTCCACCCTCTGAGACAAGAGGCTACAAGGCCAGTCAGCAAGAACAACAAAATACACGATGTACAACTAAGGGCGGTACTACTAGCCCAGCCACAGAGACAATGGGCCACAAGGCCAGTCAGAGAGTATAGTTAAGCAAAACAAACAAGTAAATAGTACAAAGATCAAGAATTGGCAACTAAGGACCTGTTGGGACAAGGTCAAGCTATGTGTAGAGCTGCTTGATCACGAGGCTGGAGCGCCTTAGTGAAGATGTATCAGCGGGGTTGGCCCCCGAGGCTACGTGTACTATGCATGCTTGGCCCCGCTGCTACATCTCATGCAATAAGAAGTACCGCAACTGGATGAAGCAGTAACCACAAGAGGACCGGAGAGTCTCGATGACGTCTGCCCATGAAGCGTCAGTGTGTCCCGTTAGTGCAGCTGGATGTCGTCCTCCAAGCACAAGCCCCATGCCTGATGTACTAGCCAGATAGCGCACTACCCTCATAGCAGCCGACCAGTGCTCGGGTCGGTGTATCCCAGTCGCAACAAAGCAAGCAAGGATGCTGAGAGGATATACGAGTTCAGGACGAGTATAGGCCATTAGGTACACAAGGCACCCCACCAGCTCTGCGTATGGACCACTTGGCTCAGCAAGCTCGTCACGGACAGGAGCTGAGAGCTTATGGTCAACAAACAGAGGGTTGGGCTGTGCTGAGGAAAACTGGAAGCTCAAGTGCTGAAGATTCTGCTGCACCATGTGTGACTGAGTCAGAGTGATGGTGCACACTGTTCTGTCCTTGTTGATTTGCAAGTCAAGATAGCGATGCAGCTCACCTAGGTCAGTGCAAGTGTGCCTCCTCAACAGCTCTGCATTCATTGAGACCAGTGCGTGACAACGCGTGAGTGAAAGAGTCAGTGAGTTAGCAAATATTAGGTGACTAAGTGATTGAAAGAGTCACAGGATAGCGAATACCAGGTCGTCAACATAGACGAGAATGTGGAACGGAGTTGAGCCAGAGCGAACAAAGAGGGTCAGCAGAGGACGGGAAGAAGCTGTCACAACACTGTCTTGTCACTCACGAGGAGCCTGACGTAGACCGTAGACTAGCGCTCCACTTGGGTGGAAATGACCCACTTAAGCCAGGTGGACGGCGAATCAGATCTACTTGTTCGGGCTGCCCTGGAGAAAGACATTCGAGAAGCCAAGCGAGTGAAGCTCGTAGTCGCGCTGTGACGCTGTAGCAATACCTGCAGAGTTTTCGTATTTTGTGTGGGGAAAAGGGTGTGAAAGAAGTCAACCCCCCCTCACTGACTAAAGCCTGTCGCTAGGTAGCGCGCCTTGAAGGCAGGCATCACTCCAGGTGGCCGCTTTATCTTGAAATTCCAAATGA